AAGAAAATATACATAATGTAATGTAATAGGTAAAAATAAATAAAATCATTAGTATTGTTTAAAAGGACTGTAAAATATTTTATTTTAAATATATAATATATGATAGAGATTAGAAAAATAGAAAGTAATTTAAATTTGTTTTGTTTAAAAGTAAAAAAAATTTTTTTTTATTAAAAAGAATTATTTCTTATTAAGAAACACAATTATAATTAAATTGCTTATAAGATATTATTTATTTATTATGTAAAATATATATATATATATATATATATATATATATGTGTGTGTGTGTGTGTGTGTGTATGATAGATAATAAAACTTTATTATCTAAGACATTTGAAAGAAAATTGCAGAAATAAAAATTCTCGTGAGAAGCGTAAGAAATATAAGTTCTATGAATATAATGAAAATATCATTACTCTTCGGCCAACAATGAACTTGAATAATTCGTATAAATCGAAAGAAGAGTAAAAGTTAAAGTAGAGTATAGTAAATACGTCATGATTACGTTAATTAGCGTCCAGTATTTTTGGCACAAGTACATGCACATAAAAACAGTAAAAATACACTTTAATTAGCTAATAAAATTTTGTGATGTTTGTTTAACTCGACAAAGCTCCGCACATGGAAAAGGCGTTTTACGATTATCGTAGCTTTATAATCATGTATCATGTAATATACTCATAAAAGTGTTGGCACGATGTTTTCTTTTATACGTAAGCTAAATTTAGACGACTCCCTTATATTTATCTTTATCGATAAAATTTCAGATAGCTTATTCTATATTCTTATCGTTTAAACTATTTAATATCTAAAAATAGAATAATTTGTTCCTTTTCATTGATATTTCAAATAATCGTTATTACGAATCAACAAATTTAAATAGTCATTTTGACAGACATGTGTGTATATTTGACTATCCATTCTTGTAAATTATAAATACATTTTACACGAGCAATATGAGCAATGTTCATCAATATAAGCATTCTAAACATTATTACTTAATAAATAATTTAAATTAATATTGTTTTTAATGTGTTACAATATATTTACATTCAATATAAAAGCCATATACTACGATTATACAGTATCCTCTTATTTTTCTTAATGGATATTAATTTAATTTTTGCGAAAATAATACATTAATTCAAAATTAGAAAAATTTTATAAAATAATAATAAAACTTCACAAAATTATTTTCTCCTAATATCAAAAAATATAATGTTATATTTTTTAATTAAATGCGCAATATAATAAAATGAATGATAAAATACACAATAAAATGCATAATAAAATAGAGCTAAAAACTGAGAATATAATTGAAGAAATGTAATTTAAAACTCTTACATTGTATTAGTTTATGAATGAAAACATACAATTTTGCTATTGTCTTTCTTTGTTTATTTATTTAGGGTCTTTTTATTTCATCATTATTACCGATCAATTGTTTTACATTTTTAAGTTTACTTAATATAAACTAATAACACAAGCGTCGAAGTAAGGAAAACATTATAGATAATTGATTATTATAATGTCCTCCTGAATTTTTTTTCACATTCGATAAATTTGAATATTCTTAAACAATAGTAATTCCATATTTCATAGTGCTTTTGAAATTTAATAATAACACGAACTATTTCTAGCTCGAATATTTATCTAATATTAATTCCATTATAAATAATATTGTAGAGCTTATTCGTTATTAATAGAATATTTCATTGAATATGTAATTATACTTCATTCCTTTTTCATTTGGAGCTTGCTCACTTAACTAAAATAATAAAAAAATTTTAATATTTAATAAAAGCGTACATTTAATGCATTAAAAAGAAAAGAATTAATGCCTTAATTATTAAAAGTACAATAAATTTATTCGCTATTAAAAACAAATATTGTTTAGCACTTAAATGTAAATACAATATTATATATTTACTAATATTTAAGTAAAATCATCTTCTTACTGTAATACTCATTTAAGAAAGAATTTTATATTTGTATTAATCAATTTGTATAACTAATTCTTGATATATAATAAAATCGATTTAAATTTTGAAATTAATCAACATGAAAATTAGTGAAAGTTGTCATTGTTTGTGAAACATATTTACTTTACTAAATATATAATATAATAAATCACAAAATGATGCAGAAACAATACTAAAAGATTTTAGTAAATGGACTAGTTAATTCGTCTACTTTAGTCAGTTTAAACAAAACAAAAAAAAAAAACAAAAACAAAAACAAAAAAGACTACAGATGTATAACATTTAATATATAAATTCAACTTTGAAAGGTAAATTGCACTTTGATCTTATTATTTTATACTTTTGCTCTTATATCTTAATCCTTATTCTATTTAAAGTTACATGCATTTAAAATTACGGAATCAATACGTGTGAAGATAAATGAATCGAAATAAATTAATGCGTTCCCTTTTTGTCTATAAATTTTTTAAAACGCTTGCTTCCATAAAGCCATTAATCTACTTAAGAACTCAATTTCTTTAAATTTATAAATTACTTTCTATATTCTTTTGGCAATTTTATTTGTATTTTATAAGAAAAAAAATATACAACAACAACATTTGTTAAAGATCATCATAATTATTAATACTTTATTCGAATCTCTACTCGTACTATATTAATAATTTAACTTTTTTTTTTTTTTGGTGAATGCGTAAATAAAATTATTTAATGTTTCACTTATTTAAATATCGTAATTCTTATATGTAATTTGTGATACTTTCTTTATGTCTCTTGCATCCATTTTATTAATGGTTCAATCATCTTTTATTAAATATGAAAAGCCATTAACAAATCTACGTTTCTGGCGCTAATAACTTATGAATTTACTTTTAAATAATGAGGATATTTCTAGTTAGTATAAGAAAATATAGCAAACAAAGCATTATTTTGTTAATATTTCGAATATTTTTATTTGGATATTGTAATTTTTTTTTTTTTTATTATACAATGAAAATACCATTATTCAAGACACAACTGGGTCAGCACAAAGTTGATCTCAATTCAATACACACACCACACGTCTGCACAGACAAAAACAAATATACATAATACACATGTTCTCTCTCTCTTTCTGTTAATTTTTTCTATTATAAAACGAGGTACCGATCGTTACATTCTACCTTTCATTCACGATTCAGTTATCTAATTGATACATTTTTATATTCTACATAAGGCATTATATTCATAAACAGTGTATTTTATTATTATTATTATTATTATTATTATTATTATTATTATTATTATTATTATTATTATTATTATTATTATTATTATTATTATTATTATTATTATTAATCATACATGCAATCATACATATTGTATAAAAATATATTATATTTACACTAAATCGCTAATTAATGGTAATCATTTGGTAATCGAAATTAACTTCTATATGAATCTTCTCGTTCGTCTATTTATATCAATAAATCAATTTAATAACATTTCTTATAACCAGTAAGATCAAATTAAAAATCCTTATGTGAAATACACTTTCCATGATAATTTCCAAGGTTTTTCGATCTGCAATGCTACAAGTCCAATTATCTGCTCTATAGGAGGAAGAAAATAAGATTAATTCTCAATATCAGAAATCTTGATTTTCCAAGTCTGACAGAATTCACTATAAGCTTGCTTAATATGTTTGTTTTATTGCGGGTTAGTCCACAGTCCCTTTTATACGAGATTAGTAGGTAAGCTTCACATCGAGACCATCAACCCCAAGATATTTTGTAATTACCTTCGGCTGCACAATTTCTCTATTTATCTTTATTTAATGGAAAAGGCTACGGCAACACGTTGAACAAATCGAAAACTTCTTTTCTATTCATTCATTCGTTAAAATCTAACAACTACGTACAAATTCTTAGACAAGACCTGAAAATAATTTCACATTTACAAATTATAAAAACATTGTTTCACTCCAAATTTATTGGGCAGAATTCTAATTAAACTTAATTAAATTACATAAATTATATATGAATTGCTTATATATTTTTGGAGATTGTCCAATAATAAGAAATGTAAAGAAAGCCATTGATATCTTAAAAATTAAGTTAAGAATATCCTAAATCACTAACCTGCACTAACCACGTGATCACTCTACCTTAATCAGAACAAATAATAGTTCCCACTTATTTATTTACCTATTAATCGACATTATGAACTTATTTAGCTTGAATAGTCGATGTGAAACTAATTTCAACAAAAATAAAAAATTTAATTTATAAACGAATGTTACATTATTTTTATGCAAACATTTTAATTCGAATACAAATTGAGTTTAAATTTTGTCACACAATAGAAGAGAAAAGAAGTGATATATATATATATATATATAATATTATATTAATATTAATTTAATACAATAAATTATTTTAAAATTTTTAATATTTTATTAATATATTTAAATACGCACAATAATGTTAAATAATTAATCAATGTGTATTTTAAATTTGTTCGAAATTAAATAGGATACTATTTATTATTTGCCAGTATTATTAAGCACATTTAGAAAACAAATTCAATCAAAGACTTCTTGTTTTTGTTCGACTTCATCTAGTAAATAGTATTTTTGAAATTTCAATCTCCTCATGATTACATATCTCCATACAAGATTATAGCTCGAAATTTTTACTGTTTATAACAGTTTGGTATGAAATTTAAAGCTTACACATTAATGCATATATAGTAATATTGCATATATAAAAACATCAAAAAAAGAAAAAGAAAAGGTTTTTTTTTTCAAAAACCCTTGTTTTTGAAGAAGAAAAAAAGATTGTCAAAATATATTAACAATTGATTTCTATCTTATTAAATATTCCAAATATAATATTCCAGCGGATGTAATAGCTAAGAATAAAAAAAAACTCCACAATTCGATCAATAATAAGTACTCCGTCGGTAAAGCAGAAAATCCACGATGGTTTTATCTGTTTATCAAATACAATGATAAAAATACGGTCAGAAATCGTCAAGTTATTTGCAATTTTGTGTGGTTGCGTTTAGTCATATGTAAACTAGTAATAAAACGTATCTACATGTATATATATTTTTTTGCAGGTACTTAATTTTTAAGAAAAATAAAGAATATTTACTACAAGAGAAGTGTCAAGTGTCAATCTTTTATGTAAAGACTTTAACGAAATAACTTAATGAAAAGGCTGCGTCGACGATTGCTTTATCGTGGCCGAGTTGTTAATTAATAAGTAAGACGTAACATGGAAACCACAAAAAGTCTGGAACAATACGAAGAATGGAGAAAAAGAGTAAGTCATTCGAATATTTCACTTTTCTGCTCACTCAATCCTTACAAAAATATGAATATTCATCCTATTATTAGATTGTGAGATTTATATTAAGATTTTTAATTTGTTGATAAAATATTTGTAACATAAAACGAAAACAAACAAGTGAAATAATTATTGAAACATAGTTCATAAAAATATAAACAATATTATATACTTCCTTAAAGTATTAATAATAAATTTACTCCATATTGTTTACCACAATTTTATTTATAATACAAACCTATCGTGTTATTCCCTATTGCTAAGGATTTATGGTATTTCTTAGGAGCATTATAATTTATTTAAATTGAAATCATTTTTAAGGCATTTCTTGGGCCTTTACCACCAAATTTTTTAAGAATAGAAGAGACAACGGGTAATAATCAGCAAGAGGAAGCAGATCGACAAGCTGCAATAGTATTACAACAAATGCAAAATCAGACAATGAGTATGATGGGAAGACTTACCATAACAGTAGTGCAAGTAATAGCAAGAATTTATTTTATAAAAGCATTAATTGATAAATTCGGTAAATTCAATATTATATTAGCATAAATTTCATTCAAACGAAGCTAATTAAGAAATTATTTCTATGCATTTACTTTTACGTTACTTATTTTGATAAAAAAAAATCGTTAGTATAAGAAAATAATTTAAAGAAACAATTTAATTTATGAAAAATTATAAATTATCGTTCAAATTTTGTCTATAACTATTAATTTTATTTAGGCAAGACTTGTAAAAAACTATGGATTCACAGGAATGGATCCTTACGTTAGACTAAGAGTAGGACATACGATATATGAAACTCACACAGACAGAAAAGGAGGAAAAAATCCACATTGGAACAAAGTCATTCAAGTGTAAGGAGTTAATTGATAAAAACAAACTTGAAAAATTTATAAACGATGACAATAAAATTCTAATTATTTTCATGGTTGTCAGTTTTCTTATTGAGCAACTTGATAAATTTTCCAAAAGTCAATTTTTTCCAAACATTTATAATAAAATTATTTATCGCCAATTTAAAAAGTAAATAGACATTGAAATTAATTAATCTTGAAAATAAAGAAAATAATTTAAAATATTTTATGATATATGTAAAATTTTGAAAAAGATCATCAGAACGATAATATATATTACATTCACTTATTTGACCAATGTTCAAATTTAGCTTCCTTCCACCTGGAGTTAATAAGATATATGTAGAAATATATGATGAATATTCTTTTACAATGGATGAATTAATTGCATGGGGCCACATAGATATTCCATCTCAAGTTGTTGAGAAAGGAACAACGTACGAAGACTGGTACTTACTTAGTGGAAAACAGGGAGACAATCAAGAAGGTTCTATTAATTTAGTATTAAGTTATCAGGTAAGCCTTTTTTTTTTCTTTTTATTAAATAATTATAATCTCCAAGGACAATTTATTTAAATAATTTAAAAAATTATATTTAATACTTTAGATATAGTTTTCATAATGAAACACTACGATCTTTATATAATAATAAAACTCTAATTGAATAAAAATATATACTTTATATATATATATATATATATATATATATATACATATACATATTTTTATTTGTTTATATGAAATAGAAAATTCTTATTTATGCAAGAATTTATCATGAATTTATTTTGTTGTTGAATCGATTAATCTTTTTCTCATAAATTATTTGTATATATAGTATACGATTAAATATTTATAAAATTATGGGATGCTTATTAAAAATTAAAGTAATAGATTTTTTTTTAATTCTTTATAATTCTTATTTCTGTTAGGCAAGGTATCCAAAGTCATATATGGAAATGCCCGCACCTGTTATGATGATTCCGTCAACAAATGTAACTAAAAGTACAACGCCATTTGCACCTGTTAATGTTTACACAGAACCTCCAGTCAATCCCACTCCACCTGTTCTTGCGAGTTTACTACCTAATGCAGAAATTGAATTAAAACAAGTATGTTTTCGTCAATTTAGTTAGTAAAATATTATGGTATGTTAAAATATTTACATGCCAGATAAAATATAAATCATATAAATCTAATATACAATTTCGAAAAATTGGATTTATTGCATTACATTTAATTTTAATATAGATTTTTAGAAAAATGAAAAGCTATAGTTTTATTTCCAATGTAATATAAGCAGATTATGTGTATATATTATTCTTTATCGATAGGCTAGTTATTTATATTTAACACTATTTTGTTGTAAATAATTAAAATATTTAATATTATTATCATGACATTGAGTAATACATTAAATATTCAATATTCATATAAAAACTTGTTTCTTATAGATTTCAGAAATGTTTCCAAATATTGATAAAGAAGTGATAAAATCCGTTTATGATGCAAACAGCGGCAAGAAGGATATAACAATAAACACGCTTCTCCAAATGGTGGAATAAATCTGTTTCTATAAATATAATTAATTATATTCTTTATAAAGACAACCAAAATTCGTGCTTAGCATATAATCGCCAGTGCTGTATTTGTAAAATTTTGCTGTAAAAGTATTATTTGCAATCAAAGTAATATATTTACATAATATTATGATATATACATTAATTTATTCATCCCACCTTATGGTAATATAAGAATGTTCACTTTTTTAATATTTTATTTCACTTCAATCATTTCGTTTAATCTATTACTTATTTCAATTTTATACTGATTTTTATTGTTAAAATTCTGAATTAATGATAAAATGAGAAAATAATAATAAAAAAAAAAAAAAATATTAGATATGATATTAATATTAGACTTTTTTTTTTATACAAGTTTTTAATAATATATATACATTTACATAATATTATGAAATACAAATTATTTAATCCATGGTAAATATATTTTAATAACAATTTATTTGTTTTATATATGAAAGAATACAAATTTGTCATCATAATTCATAATAACTTAAAACTATTGCTTAGTTATTTTATTATCTTTTACCAAAATCGCCATATAAATGTTTGGAATAATCAGAATCCTGTATGATAAGGAACTACCGTCACCATCTATATCCTTTAATGTACATTAACAATACGTTAACTAAAATAAAAATAAAAAATTCCACTTTTATACAAAATTGCATATGTTCATAATTTTGATTATCTATTTTGTACAAATGATCTTTCTATTTAATATTAATAAATGAAGCTAATAATATATTCATTAGTTATATATAAAATTACATATTCAATAATTAATTAAAATTATTTCTAATATTATAAACATTGTAATCTAATTTACAAATCAATTTTCCAAAAATATATATACTTAAAAATCTGTTCAAGCCTCATTATTCATAAACACTATTTTTTTTATTAATATAGATAACATATTTACATACTTAAAATGTTATGAATATTACCTTGATTTAAAATATATTTTCTAGAAATATATTTGTATATATAATTTATACTGACTATATGTAAAAATATATTATAAATATTCATTACATTGACCACATGTAAAAATATGTATTCTGCCAATGTGGCAAATATTTGGCTATTGGCTCGGTAATTAATCTTGCTAATGGTACTTTTTTAGATATCATGTCAAGCATTGATAATATTTTGATACGACTACAGTTATCATAAAAAGGTGATCGTAACAAATACAATAGTAATCCTATCCTACGACGTACAAGTTCTTGTTGCTCTTTCGTAGTGAGCATTGATTCTTCGGTGACGATTTTTAAACTAAATAAAAGAACGATTAACAATTACATTATATGATAAATGTTTATAAACATAAATTAAATACTTATATGAAATAATTCTTTAAATGCTTAAAAAGTTACCTTGCTACATCAATAAAAAATGATAAAAGCCATGGAAACCAATCTCGCGATCCGGTAATTGATAAACAACCGAGATGTAATAGTGGTTTTACTACATACATAGTCTAGAATGAAAATATTAAAAATGCATTTACATAATTTATGATATTTTATAATATTTTATGATATTTCAAACACAAACTTCAGCTAAAAGAAGAGACTTTTTCAGCGAATAAATATGACTGGGATTTCCAAGTTCTTCTGTTTCAATAGCAGATGAAGATGCAAGTGGTGTCCATGTTCTTGTTTGTATTGAACTGCTTCTGACTGTTCTTACAACCTTTCCAGAACGTTTGAGCGAAAAAGCTTCCTTAGGAAATTTGTATTCATTACAGTTTTCATTGAGTTCTTCACGATTTAATGGTCGAATAGCAGGAGTCTGAGTAATGCGTTCTTTATAGCGATATATAAGTACTAACCGCATTACAACTCTGAATTAAGAGAATATGTTTTGTTCATAGCGTATGAAATAAAACTTGATAAAAACAATTATGCTTATAGAAAATTGTACAAATTGTACTTCTCGTTTAAATAAATAATCGATACCGAGATTTAACAGCATATGTTACATTAATATATGTATCCAGCACAGATAGTTCAATATAATCTATTTACATGTATCGATTAATTTTAAACGAGTTTAGCTAATTACATTTTATTTTTAATTCAATTTAGAAAATATCCGTACGCTCGTGACAACTGTATTTATAATTTTCATATTATTTAAATAAAGCGTAAACTTAAGTAAGTACAAAACAGATTTATAAAATTATTAATATTAATAGGATTTCATTTTATCATAATTATTGTGAAAATTGTTTAACGAACTTATTATTATTAAATTATAAAATGAATTATGAATAAAAAAAATAAGTAAATTATAAGTAATTGGTAAATTTTCTAAAGGCCTTATGCTATTTTTAACAATCTTATAAAATTATCCTTTAAATAAATTTATATAAAAAAAAATTATGCGTTACATATAAATGTATAATTAATAATTAATAGAATTAAAATTATGTAAAATAATAGTCAAATATTTCTCATTCTTTAATGAGCAAATGCACTAACTTTAGTAATTGAATTAAGGAAATAATAAACCATCGTCCGGTTTCACCCCATACTCTTTTAGCTGATAATTCAAATAATGCCTCTGTATAATCAATTGTAGTTAACCATATTTTTAATTTGGAATATAATGATGGTAAATTTGATTGTGGACATTTACTAGCTTTAATAATTTGATCATTGAACAGAATTATTAAGTTTGGAAGAGAATAAACAAGCTCCGATGCCAATGTCAAATGGTTGAATCGTTCTAAAAACATTCAATAATAAATATACTGACTTGCATATATAATAAATACTTTAAATATAATTGAAATTTTACTTTACCTGCAGTAAAAAATGATAAATATTTTAATGTACTCTCTATGTCCGATATCAAATTCGGATTATCTGTTATCCATTTTTTATAGAGTTTAAACCACTCGGACAATATCGCTTTTATATTAAGAGAATGAACCATTATTACAATTAACTCAATTTATCTATCTTCTTTTTTACTTTTGAATGATAAGTATTGTGATTTTGAATATATATCGGTATTAATTCACTTTTAATTTAGTTTTATTATATTTTTATATATAATGGACAGAGTTTAGAATATTTGTATAGTCATTCTATAAAGTCTTAAATAGATTTTACATATCTATGCATTGAATACATTTAATTTTAAAATATACAAAATATTTCATAATAACTCTGCATTCTACCATCGCTTATATAGATTAGGTTAGAGTTCAATTATTATCAATGCCGTAAATGAAGCACTGTCAGATAATTGACAAATTTCTTTTATTTTTAATATTACGGGAACTTGAAAATAATATGCCATTTATGATACATTCCATTCCTAAATCCGATAAAGACGACGGATTAAACTGACGCGGTTAAATTAAAAATTTTTATACGGATTATTAACTTTAATAAATTAATCAATTGTCCCGTTTACATCGAAATATTTATATCATAATGTAATGTAATAAAAATTTATAGTCATGTATGTATGTATTATATGGCGATTATTATTAAAATTCCATTGCCACAAAAGTTCGCATCTATTAGTTTGTCATTTTAGTATATTTGGTAAATTGGGAAGTAATCATGAACATTACATGTTATTGACATGTTTAATAACGAATAAATTTCAGTTATGAAAATCAGTTTATATTTATTTCAACGTACTAAATTATTTAAAAACTAATCCAACAAAAATTTCTATGCTTATTAAGATTAAAAAAAAAAAAAAAAAAAAAAAAAAAAAAAAAAAATTATTGGACTTCAATTTTTTTATTTTTTTAACTTGTCAAAATAATGTTTAACAACGCTTAAATAATTAAAATAAAGACATTTATCTATTTTTTCAAAGATCGGAACAAAATTAATAGATTTTTTTTATTTTATTAATAAGTCGTTGAATTCAACATAGGATAACAAATTACATATTAATAAATGATAATGCAAATTAATTTGACTGAGATGTTATATTTTGTATTTTTAAATGATGAAATAAAAATAAGCATTTATAAAAGTATTCATATACTCATGTAAACAAATATTACCAAATAATAATCAATATTACGATTTTACATTATTCTGAATTTTCAAAAAATCAAGTGTATATTATAATAATTGGTTATTGAACGAATTATATTACATCTTATTAGTTGTCTTTGGGTATAAAGTGGATGATATTTAATGATAAATAAATTTCTAATAAATTTGTTCGATTCCTAATTATTGGACAAAATTTAACAATATCGATGGTATAAAAGACTTTTGTTTTATTTCTTCTTTAGTATAAAAATATTTCATATTCATAAACAATCATATACACTATTCGTTTATAATTATTTACCATAAATGAAATTAATTACATAATTTGAAAATTAATATTTAAACGATATTTAATCGTATTAATAGTATAATTACAATACTTTGACACTCGCAATACTAAATCTAATAAACTGAAATTAAATTTATTAATAAATTGAATCGATTGAATTAACTTTATTCAAAATTAAAGATTTTATTTAGACATTAATTAATACAATTATACGGAAAAAATTTTTACCATTGTGATTAATAAAAATAATTTTTATATTATAATTTATATAAATTATTTTCAAATTAATCTTCACATTTATTCGTGAATCGATTATATATATTATATATATATATATATATATATATATATATATACAAACACGCACGCACACACATAAATAATCACGATCGTTCTGCTATGCTCGATTAGTATAAACAACACAGAGTGATCGTTCGATTATTTATTCATTGTATTAATATTCCCAGAAAATTCATATTAACAAGTAATATACAATTTTTAATATATAAACGTAAAATATCTAAATTAATAAAATTATATATTAGCCGGTAACATATTATATTAATTATGCAAAAAATTTGTTCAACATATCTGTAAAATATAATGTATTTATTTAATTCTTTATAAAATTGTATAATTTAACTTAAGCGTTATCATTGCTAATGGAATCGGAATTCATGTCTTCGTCCTGCAAAATCGGCGTACAAACTAATTCTTGATTATATGGAATATTTTCTACATTACCTGGTAATTTCATAGGAACAACTTTTATCCTAAAATCGTAAGGCATGAAGTCACGACAGAATCTATAAAAGTCGTATCTGGTCTTGATAAGATTTAGTCTTGCCATCATCACCAACAATTTCTCAAGCACTTTACTGTAACTCTCATATTTCTTTCTCTTAATAATTAGACTAGAAATTTTTGAAAGTTCTTGTACGAATTTTTCTGATTCGATTCTTGTTTCGCTTCTGAATAAAGGCTCCATACGATTCCACAGATATTTATAAAGTCTATCGGTAGCCCAATTCTTTGGCCTCGATAATTTTGGTTGCTTGTACAACTTTCCATCTACATAATACGCTTTATTTATAGGCTTTCTTTTTTTCATCTTTAATTTTGCCTGTTTCAATGCCATGGTACGTTTTACCTTAGCATCGGTTTGTTTGTTTTTCTGTTCAAGCTCTTGATTACGTTTCTTCTCGAGTTCTAGATTTGCTAAAGTCGCTTCCTTTATTAGGTCGACCTTTTTCTTCGCAATCTCCCATAACGATTTATCGATCATCATTCTAAACAAAACAAATTATATTAATGAGTCTATCATTATGATTTTTTAAATTCACGCTTAAACTGTTTGTTATTTCAGTTGAACTGTATATTATTGGATTTATTTATGAATTATACAGACATAGTCGTGACATTATGATCGTGTTAAATTACAATCTTACAATATCATATTATCTAAAATCTCTTTTCTTATAAATGAAATTAATAATGAAATAAAATAAAAAATTTTATATAATAATTTAAAGATGTATATTTATTTAGAGTAAGTAATTTATTCATTCAAACTAAATACTTTATACTAGTCAAAAAAAATAAATCTTTGAAAAATTTCAAAATTTATTTATAATGGTGAAAACGTATTTAAAAGAAATGTTTAAAAGGATTTCATTAACAATCATGATGGTAATATTACAGAAAGTACTCCAAAATTTATTTCTTAATGCACTTATAATACCAGGAATTTCATGAAATATCTACAAGTTTGAAGTTTAAAAATAAAAAGTAAAGTTTCTCTCATCGTAACAAATTAATTTGGTAAATTATAAATTTTAATTGTATTAGAATGTTAAGAAGAAAGATAAAAACAAACGTGAAACTAGACTGAAATATTAAAAACATTAATACAAAGTATATATATATATATATATATATATATATATATATACATGCACATTCGGAATTAAATAAACAACATTAAATTACTTACGCATTGTTAGATAATTTCAATTGTCGTTCGTTTTCATTCGGGGCACTAGTTTCCTTCACACTTGTTGCTACGCCCTTTAGAACACTTAAGTCATTACCTTTTTTACTTGTATTCGACGTGTTTACCACGTTTCTTGTTAAAGAATTATGAGACGAAGAGCTCTCGTCTGTTTCAAAACTTCTGAATTCCGTGAGACGTGTAAAGGGTCGACCGCTTGGATTCAAAGTCGACTGTGCCGGATGAGGAGTACGTAGTAGGTCATCATCAACATCGCCTTCGGTACTTGGAGAATTTCTTGATATTATGCGATTAAATTTTTGCTAAATAATAAAAATTGATTTGTTTTTATCTTAAGATTTATTTATATTTTATTATCAAATAGACTTTGTAGAAAGTAATTTAATTTTTCTATTATAAATATACCGATTTATATATATATATATATATATATACAAATAAAATCTGCTTATATTTTCAAGACAATTTTTAAAGAATTTTATAATGATTCTACAGAACGATTATATGTAATTGTTAAAAAAAAGATATATATATATATATATATATATATACATATATATATTTAAATATTCAATTCTTATAGAGAAATGTTAAAAATAAAATAAATACAATAATTAGAAATTATCTAATGTAGTGAGAAATAATAAAAAAAAAGTTTTTATCATTTGTTAAAAATACTAATAAATAAAATAAATATTTTATGCTTACTTTTAATAATTCTTTATTGTAAGACTCAGCAAAACTTTCGTTCGGTTTATTGATTTTTTTAATTATATTGCTCGATAAATTTAATACTTTCGACGTTTCTGCCACTTCTTTAGCACTCATTTCATGTCCAGATATTTCTGATTTCTCATTTAATTCGGTGCCTCGATTTTCTATCGCACTTTTATCTTGAGAATGCAGTGAAGTTGCTGCTTTCGTTGACTGTCTTTGCGAGGATAATAACGACTTTTTAGAAATATAAGATTCTTCATCACTTGTATCGTCGTCTGAACGATTTTTAATTATATAGTTTTGTCTCACAATATGGTCTTCTACGTCCATTTCCTTATTTATTAATTTAAAAACCATTAAATTTAACAGATTTAAAAATAAAAAAAATATACCAAATTTTTAATGGCATCGAAATATTACAAAAATATATTTATGAATAAATAAATGGCAGGTACCTTGACTGGGTCAGAATTCATGAACTTTTGTTTTGTTGTACTTGCATTGGGCACATATGATTTTGTTCTTCTGATATATTTTGGTAATGAAGAGCTCTCGTTTTCATTGCTAATCTCTTTGCTGTCATTTTTTGTTTTATTATATGGAATAGATTCATTCAATGACGAAACGTCGGTGATTTTATTTGCATTTGATTTATTCATATATTTTAATGAACTTTGAGAATTATTCAAAACTTGACTTAATTTATTTCTTAACGATATTCTTTGACTTCTCAATGATTTATCAGTCTAGAAAGTTCATCGTTCTTATAAAATCATATGTATTATCGAATTTCCAAATTTATTAACAAAAAATATTTATAAATATATTTTAAAATGTTATTTAAGAGACTATAAGTACAATAAAAAATTAATATCGATTAATGGATATCTTAAAAATATATATTACCAAATAAAATCTTTAAAGAATAAATACAAAACTGGTAATTGTCTTTAAAAAATCTGCCAAAAGCAAGTATCTTATTTATCTTCGATAAATTTCTGACAAAAAGAAAAAAAAGAAAAACGATTTATAAATAACAACTAATAACTTTTAATTATAAACTAATAAAATAATATAAAGTTTGATAAACGTGAAGTAATGTTCTTTAATTTGGTTAAAAACAAATTATGCATTTATAAATATTAACATAGATAGATTGATATTATTAATATAAACTTCCATCGTATGATAAAGAATTCTCGTGAGTATTTACAAATAATATTCCTTCGTGAAGTATATATTTAACAAGACTTACTTTATCCATTTCAGTTGTTAAATTTTGACTTTCTAATACTTCATCAAAGGCATTTTCTTCTGAAAGCTGCTTTTCCTTTAAAAGTTGTGTTATTCTTTTAGAACTAATATTTCTACCCACTCTGACACCGCTTTGGTTATTATGATCCGAATCAGTTGTAAAACTTTTTGGAGATATATGTTTTGGTGATTGTTTTTTCGATCTGTTACCTAGAGTGGTCTAAATTAAAAATAATTTATATGTTATATTTTAACCATTTTTTAATATTAATTTGTAACAATAATATTGCAAATGCCATTCGTTCAATTATCACATACAAATAAATCGCAATTAAATTTATAAGAAAAATATTTTACACTAATAAAAATCAGAATAAGAATTTTAAAAATATATATAATTTTTACTTGATAAAATCAGAATTTTATTAAAATTAATTAAAAAATAAATTCAACCAACTACGTATTGGCATTATAATTATTTAAAGTTTTAATTAGGTTAAATATTATATTTACATTGCTTTTATTAGAAATGTTATTGTCCTCTAAGGCAGCGTCGAAGGAATTTTTTTCAGTACGTTCTTTAGATTCTTGGGAAAATAAGTTTGGTCGTCGTTTTTGTACATCATCTGTGTTGCTGTCATTTGAATTAACGGCAGCATCCGAATTAGTATTTAAATTCTTATTGGCATATTTAGTCAATTGAATTTTCACTGGAATATCTTGTTTTATCAAAATTTTTCCACTTCGCAATTTTTTTGCACCTTGGTCTAAGATCGCTTCATTACTAGATGTATTAAGTTGATTTATTTTTTTGCTAGAACTATTTGATAAACTTTGTCTCTTTATATTTCTCGAATCTTCTTTCGGCTGAATACTTGTACCTTTTGATGATTTATTTTGAATACTGATATTTTTTTCTGATGCATTATCACTATTTAAAATGTCTTCGAAATTGTTACTTTTATCGTTTGAAGTGATTCTTGTTTTCAAAAGTTTTGGTCTCAATTTTTTAATAGTTTTCGATTCGTCGGTTGATTCACAC